GACTGCATATCGCAAGCGCTGGCAAGACATTCCAGACAGTCAGATGCTATTTGTATACAGTGTTTGGCAGGTAAGCGGACAAAGTTCGCAGGCAAATCCCGTTGGACCTAGGGATTAAGAAGGGCAGGAGAAAAATTCATAAAATTAACAATTGTGGTCTACGAGAGAACCTAGTATATGAAACTTTAGAATTAATAGTCAAATTACAGATTTCTCTGGTGACTGGTTTTCCCGTCCCTCTGTTGAGGAGCTCCGGGAGGGTTCCACATAATCAGCTTCCGAGTCAAAAATGCCATCAAACACATCGGCTTGACTATCGACCTTCATTGTGGAACTCGACCCTGTGGGCAAAGGACGCACGGACGGAATCGTGAGACTCAGAAGGGCCGGGAAGCGCTCGATGAAGGAGTTCAGGAGGTCTCTATCTCTGGCATTTGTGGCCTTCTTACTGGCCTGGAAAAAGAAATGAAAAATTCTTTACACTTTTTTTGTCACAACAGTCAAAAGGAAACTCGTCGGATTCTGCTTCTGTGCTTTTATACCATCTTAGTAATGCTTCGCCAAATAAACTTTCGAAACCTATTACCTTTAAGGAGCAGTTCATAAAGATGCCCCAAACTCCGTGGAGGATAAAACATGAAAAAAAAAACTGCACAGAAAACAACAAGCTGGAGAAAATGCGGGTAAGAAATAAAAAAACGACAAGGAGTGACATCAAGGAAATACTTAAACACTAGAAAAAAAATTTGAAAAAAAAAACTGACTTGTACGTAGTCAACAGCCGAAGAGGGCGCTGAGCTGTGGCTGCAGAAGTTTGTTTCATTGAGAGCCCGCCGTATGTCGTGGAAGTGGTCAGTTGTAGCCAGCAGGCGCGCATCTAGGGTCCGCGTACCAGATTGTTCGAGAAATGCTTCCGAGCTCTGAAGACTGCTTAGTAGGTTTGGAAGAACAGGGTTGATCACACGCTTCTCACGATCACAGATTTTTCGAAGGAATGGTTCAACTGCAGTCTAACATGAAATATTCAGAAGCAAGGTGGAAGCCACTTAGTTTTAAAAAATAAACAGAAGAACTTTGGCTCGATCACACGCAAAACAAGCTTTCCGGGCAAGTAAACAAAAAGGCAAAATATTTACTAAAAGCGATAAGGGAGACAGGGTTACGTTTGATTCAAGCATGATGGATAACTACCTAAACACCAATTTTAGGCACGAAGGATATGAAATTGGATTCCGTACTCAGAAAGTATCAAGTCCAAAAATCCAGTAATGATAAATAAGCCTAGGCTCCATCCGTTCCAACCGTAGATATAAAGTCACACTGAAATTGCGTTCATCCAAGTGGACTGACTGCAGGACAAAATGTGAAACGACTAGAACTCGCTAACGGCCAGAGAACACAGTTTCTTCCTATACATTGGTTGACAACTGGATTATTAAATACAAAATGAACAAAGCGTTGGGTAGGAACGGAAACCCTCTTTGAAGCGCTCTATAAAGTTTTTGATACTAAGAAACCTTACCGATTTTTCCGCTAACTCAAATATAGAGCTTCTGTACTGAGAAAGTCGCTTAACTACTTAAAATGGTGGCCAACGACGGAAAATTCAGGAAGATCAAGAGCTAGCACGATCACCTTGAACGTCACTTTTACTTTATTGACAATAATTATACAATCGGTATCGGGAGTGATATCATTTCGTGCTTCCCCTGCCTACTAAGCACTATAGGACGTCTCAACACATAGTGAAAATAGTCAAAACAACGAAGAGAGTGGGTAAAGGTGTACGCCTGTCGAAGTGTGCATATTATCGGTGGCCTGGCTCAAATGTTGCAAGAGGTGCTTGAACCAGTATGGAAAGATGAGTGCCAATAGTGATTAGGATCCGGCTCCCATGTGGTAGACTTCAAGAGGGACGATAAGATAATGTGTCAGAGATATCCCCAACCGAAGCGTGGAACACCCTTCCCGGAGAGGTTCTCCTCTCCACCTGTGTTAATTCATTTAAGAGCAGACTGGG